TAATCATGAGGGGGAGGAGCAATAAGCTAAAGTGTAATGTCAAATTGGTCAGATTTTCCTGCACAGTGATTTGGATAAAAGTCTTTGTCCCCTTTAAAGACGGTCACACTTTTTGTCTTGCACGACATCCCAAACATTTATAATTCAATTTCTTGTTGAAGGCTTGCCTGGTCGCTTCGTGATATCGTCATCAACATAAATTTATGGTTGAAATATTGTGCACAGCCCACAGAGCAGTTGACAGAATGTGAGTGGAAATCTAACAGGATAACAATGCTAAATTCAAACATTTCGTGGGCTCTGTATTATGCATATTTGACGTGTATTTATTTACTTTAAATCCCTACAACAACTGAAAACAAATTCAAACCCAACCGACACCTTATTGGCGTTACTGCAAGCAATAAGAGAATACATTTCCCTTCCCATTGTGGTGTCCCGCATATTAAACGCAACACGCCATCTTATCAGTGTAAGATTTCTTAGCAAATATACTCTGGAAAATCAGGACCGTTGCAACCTCCCCGCCTCTGTCACAAAATCACCGAGTCCCCCACGTGAACAATTGCAACATACAACTTGATTTGTTGAAGAAAATGAAAAGCAACTAGACGGCTATTTGCTTTACCTTCAAGCTATAAGGGTGTTCTGTGCCAGATATACGTTGGGTCTGTTTACAGCAAAATTCCTACCTTTCTCAAAAAGGATGAAATGTTTACAACGCGTAGGGAAAAAATAACGAAACAGTGAAAAGAAACGGCGTCATGTAAACTACATCACAAAATATTTCTTTCGACGGAATTTTCACATTGTGGAAATCAATTATTTCCAGATTTGGTCTGGTTTTCGGTCTTTCTGCGGGCCGCCGTCGCGTCTTAAGTCAAGAAAGTCGCCTTTTAGCGTGACATGTGGCGTCTCAATGTGAGAGAAATTCATAATTTTCCAAGAAACAATAATTAAGGTGCACCCTCACGTGCTGCGGGAGTTGACGAAATTGCAGACGCACGCTTCTGAATTGATTACGGGTTCCCTGACCCTGCCGGTGTGGGTCACAGCGTCACGTAAACACTGCCCACCAACAACGATACCGAATACAGGACTTGTCAAATCTTCAATTTTATTTAATCTTTTATATGAAAGGTTATACAAAGTTTGGCGTTTCAAAAAAAAATTGGGTTAAGTTCTTATGCATACTTACCGAGGCGAAAGGCAATGACGTTTTACGAAAAAAATAACATGTAGATTTTATACTGTTTGAACTTCTACAAAAAGATTTGTATAAAATCAAACCGCTTAAAAATATTTTCATAAAAATCAAAAACCTTTATATTATTATGAAATATTTTTCAAAAAGGATTTACTCTTTATTTAATATAATTAATTGTACGGCGCTGTGATTGCAGTAATGGAAACAGTATTTTATATAAATGAATGTAATCAAAATCAAAATATTTAAACGCGGTATATCCATTAAAAAAAATTTAGCCCCCCCGCTTCCAGAACCAGTACGAAGAGTTGGTCCTCCCCGCAAGTACCGAGGCGTGGCAGGTACGGGCGGTACAGACATCATTAAGGAATAAAATGAGCTGTTTAACAACACATAGGGAAACGAGACCAGGCGTAAGCACGGGTAAATTATTTTCGATTATGCGAAATTTGTTTCAAATTTGATCCTACAAGGGCTTGATGATTTTAGATCGTCTAAATCATTAATCTATGTCAGGTACAAACAACCCGAGCCGGTGGATTGTCAATAGTGAACCCCAGTTGAAAAGTAACGGTTCAGGTAATTACAAAAATGACGAACAATTTAAAAGACATAACTAGGCTTGAATTACTGAAGTTCAAACGCTGTGTTTTCAATGGCGAAGAATGTTGTATTCAGGTCGCTGGATCGTCACCAGTTGGTATCAGTGAACCCTTCTTTAACGCCCTGTTGCAGCGACCGCTCTAAACACGCCGCCCGGACAATACGATGCGGCTCTCGGGGAGCGAGTGGTACACATTCACAATTTACCTCTTATATCAAAGAGAGTTTCTTTAAGATACACGATCTTGTGCAGTGACGCGTTACATCAGGTTTGTTCGCGCATTTTGTGTCGTCTCTGCAATTGAATGCTATAAAAACGCTGAAAATAAAGAAATAAAGAAATCCCTCCCCATATTATTTAAGTGTTTAGATAAGGGATGAATCCACTTCACTGCATGTTTAGAAGCTAACCAAGCTGAAAGCGGCTTAAGTTAATTGTATTAACGCGACGTGCACAGCAATACCTGACAGTCGCGTTACTTTCGCATCTTTGCATCTCTTTGTCAAATTTTCATCTGTATCCAAACAGTGTGGACAGAATATGAATACCAAATCGCTCTTGACTTCTCGCCTAGTGTTCAGACAGAAAAAAAGAGACGCACATCAAAGATCAGCGCCGCAGTTTAGATATTCAAAACATTTCTGAACAGTATCATCATTCCAGACAAACATTTCTCTCAAAAATACGCTGAAAATCGTGACACATCTTGGGTGTCCTTGTAGCTTGAATCCCCGGCTTCACATTCCACCCATTCCAGTTTGACGAGTTGACAATACCACTGATAACATTGTGGGAATTTGCGTCACTTTCACTGCGAGTATATTACGTGCCCTTTTCGCTTTTCCTTTCACCGAGGATTAGAAAATTTCCAGAAAATCGCTCATTGAGAAAGGGTGGTTTAAAAGGAACTCACTGGCAAAGTTGACTTGAAACTATTTGTCGGCCCTAACAAAGTTCGGCGCTTTCATCAATCAGTCTGCTTATCACGTCGCCGTCGTCTACCCGCTTATAAATAATAATTATTAGTTTTTACAATTTGTCAACATAAATCAACAAAGAAATCAAAGAAGAAGATTTCTGGTTGCGTAGAAAACGACTAGTGAATTTTCAAAAGGCTATAGATAGTCCCCTATTATAGACACGGGGCAAATTCCATTGTATCAGAATATAGCGGCATTCATTATTGATAATTCTTATTCGACTTGAATCTTTCATATTTGAATTATTAAAACCCAATAACTGTGAAAGAAACATCCAAATCCGAGATTCAACTTTGGACGGGGCGTCCTACTTTCAAAATTTTATATTTAAAACGTTTGGATACTGTGTTCTGAATGAATGAATAAGAAGCTGACATTGGACACTAAGGAAAATGTATCGATGTACCGAAATCCGTTTTTCTTAGTAAATCTCGCCCATAAGAAATTTTCTTCTCCGCCTTCTTTCGTAATTTTTCTATTAGCGGATGACAAAACGGCTTATTATAATACAATGATGTCTTCCCCATTATTTTGACTTCCTAGCCAAGTTCCGTGCCTTTTTGTCAATTCGAAACCATCTTTTGGGTAAACCCTATAATTATTTATTCGCGTCCCCTCGTTGCTTCCTAATTTCGCTTAAATGTGGGGTCCTTCAATACCCGTAACACAAACGACGCAACTATACGTGGGGTTTGTGAGGGAACAATCGTCCGGATATTTTCCCTTCTGTTGGAAAGACTAGATGTTTTGTGGTTGGGTAGGTCCTGTTTTCATCTTTGGTTAGAGCATTATTTGGGGATGAGCTAGTATTTCATTAGAACTATTATACAATCAACGGCGGGACAATGGCCACTACACCTGTGAGTGTCGAGTGAAGGTGACAAACAACAGGAGCCAAGCTACAGGGGGACTACAAGAACTGTAACACACGTGACGAGTGACTCAGATGCTTAATAAAACGAAATGAATATTTAATGAAATATTGTCCTAATTTGCAGAGTCTTATTTTCTATATTAATTTACACTTGTGTTTTTTTTTAACAAATTCGTGTTATTTTTCAAATAAAAATTATTTTGAACTTTTAAGACAGCGAAACTAATTTATATGAAATGATAAATAACACACACTGGCGGATAACGTTGAGTTAGCAAAATAACCCCAACAAAGATGTGCAAATTTCAAGCAAGATGAAAATCTCAAAAATTTCAATTTCCTTCATTAAATGCGTGTCCACAAACTTTTCATTTCATTATGGCAGTGTCCGTGCTGCGGTCCAAATGCTTTCATTTCAATAGATTGTTTGTGCGGTTGTCTCTTCCGCCCTAAGTGTGGTCCATCACTCCCATTGCAAGCCACCTGAAACCCGAGCCACCTTTTATCTCAATGACAGCGCGTCTTCCTTTCCTCTCGAGTTTCTTTGTCAGGAGAGCCAGCGCGTTCAATGGGGGACTGCTGTCAGACGCGCTCACAGGGGAGGGCCATACAACCGGCGTCTTCACTGGTGGGAGGGACAGGGGCGGACGAAACATTTACCACAAAATAATTTCTAAATTCAAGAATTATTTTTTATCATCCAGCAATATACATTTCTTCGTCATTTTAGCTGTCCCATTAGCGAAGTGCACGGCGTCTGCCGGCAGCCAGCGCGTCTCCTGTGACAGTGTCCGATGGAACACCAACAGTCTGCCAGCGTACCATGAGGTCTATTCATGGCCCATCAGAACGGCACAGTTCGCTGCGCCCCAGTCACAGGCGGCGTGGCGGAAAGCCATTCATCCCACATCTCCATGCCCAAGCATATATTTTATTGACTGCAACTCTTTGGACGAGTCTATAAAGAAGGCTAAAAACCTATGAAAGTGACACTAGGTTGATCTATGCCTAAAAAGGAGCCACATTTGTTATCCTAATGACTGGTTACTGCTAGTTCATGACGGAGCCAGAAAGTAAATCAAAGCGAATCTTGTTTGCTTATTGTCATTTTTTGACGTGCCGGACCTTTGAGTCTCAGATCTCCGCAATGTTAGCACGCAGGAAGGTGGGCGCACACACGCAACCCAAACACTTCACTCCACAATGGGCAACTATCACCCTATGAAATTTGTTGTTACAATAGCCCTTTCAGTGGCATATTAAAACGCAACCATCTATCTTAACCACAGTGGGGCAAGACCCGTACCTGCCGCAGAATTAAGCACATACCACATATTTCATTTTGAAAAAATATCTTTTAATCCCCATAAAACTTGACAGGAAACGGTCAAGGTTAAAAACCATTTCTCTATTCACTGCAGAATGATATCAAGTTATTATAAGACACACATGGGAACCCATGTGCCAAAAGACAAACCTTTTTTTAACTGTACTATTCCATTGACATAGTAAATATATTACTTATTTTTCTAATTTCATTTTTCCATTAGAATACAATAATAACAAAAAGTGAATCTTGATAATATCATATCCTTATTATACATAATTTAAATAGGGATATGTACTATGAATGAAATAGTACTATTTCCCATTCATATGTCAAATCAATGTCTTCTCTCACATCTTCCACTGACGTCTTTCTTCCCTGACACAGTGGTGGACATCTCAAATAATTTCTAATCTGACACTCCGAAGCCACTTCAATTCCTGCCACCATGGGAAACTTCTTACTTTCCTGAAATATTGTGAGAAAATGTTTGTCAAACAAAAAACAACTGAAATTAGTTTCTGTCAATCCTTAGCTCTTTAATCTTAAAAAATTCTAAATATGAACCATATACAAATTCCAAAGAAAATCTAACAACATTCTCTACTGTATATTACTTTTTATAACATAATATTCACAAAAAAACAAAAACTTGAATATTTTTCCAAAAAGATCAAAATTTTTTGTGTATAGTCAAATAGTAGTGGTAAAGTATATGACTTATAGGTTGCACCTATTTTTTCAGAAAAAATCATAATAATTATAAATTAAATAAAATTGGATTAAATGAAATTTCTGGGTATAACATTCATTAAAAAATGTTCATTTCAAAACCTATGGCAATAAATGATTCTTCCTAATGATATTTTTGCACCAACAGATTCTGATATAGTTTTTTTGGAATTAATTTAAAAAATTTCCTGAGATCATTGCACAATTCTTAATGCAGTCGTATGCAAAAACTCATTTCAATCATTTTATCAGACATGTAACAAACAGCCTGGTCTTCAAGTTGAAAAGTTCACCATATTCATTTCATAATCTGGGTGATCGTATTCAATTTTTCCTTCAGTAGTTCAGTGGACTGTGCATCAGGAAATCATCCCAATACCTTTGTGGATATTATCCAAATAAAAACCCACAGAGGTAGGACACATAGAGACTGCCGGATAATACCGCAGTTTTCCCATGGGCGGCAAGATCTGTTATAAAGCCTCCTCCCAACAGCTGACTGCGGCACGAGGCACAGTTTATGATACAGACTGCTTCATTTCACATATTTCGATCGCATAATCTTCATGTGGACCAATTCACAAAACTACAATTCTTACAAGCAAGTTAAAAAGTTTCCATCAATGCAAACAGCCAATGAAAACAAATGTTGGGGTTGTTCTTTACACTAGGAGTAATAAATGCTATTTCACAAAGGGCTGCGATTTAATGCCGCAATAGACAAGGACAGATTTAAAATGACGCAAATATTTAGAAATGTTTATGTTTTGTTAACCTTTTTCAGTTAGGTGGCTTTATAATAACACCATAAACAGCTTAAAAATCAAACAGCAGTTATGATAAGAAGGAAATTAAAGGTGCTAGAAAGCTATAGCAGACAAGAGAATGAAGGAAATATGAATATGAAATCAGACCTCTGTAGGTGACCTTACAAATACTGCTACGTCAGCCAATACATAGGATCAATGCAGTAGCTGTCTTTGGAAAGAGTGCAGTCAAAATGCAGGCTATGTGAACAAATGTAACAAAGCAGTGAGGAGTGAGGCGGTAGCATTTCAGCTTCGACATGCACCTGCCAAATTGGACGGGCAAGACCTTGAAAATAAAGAAAGGAATTCAGAGGACGAAATATGAATAATGATTAAAACTGAAAGAAAAAGGAAAAAAATTCTTGTAGCAAACAGGGTGGATGAACAAAACTGAACCACAAAAATGTAAAGGGGAAAATAAGGTTTCTTACCCTTAATATTCTTATTTTCCCATTATGAAGTAATATACTGCATTTGAGAGGTAGTTTCAGGCAGTGTTATACTGGTGTGAAGACATGGTCCTTTTAAACCACTAATCCGCTAGATTTATCATGCCCAATTCCCTTTGCCTGTGTTAGTTTATTATCATGTGCGTGCATTATGATTTGAATACAGGTGAATAGAATTGGACCACATGGAAAAGGGCACAGCCAAGTGAAAATAATACAAATAAACCCACAGAATAAAATGTTCTGGCGGTACCCCCACCCTGGCGCCAGGTCTAAATTCAGGTGTGAGGGCCAACTGAGGGGAGATACACAAGAAATAGGGGTGCTCTCATATCTCTTGTTACAATTAGCTGAACAGATTTCCTTTGATGTTCAAGAAAACTACAGCTACGACCTGATCCCATCTGTTCATCTAAATATCGCTTCTCAGGGAACTGGTAATAAAAGTTACAAAACAAGTGTCACCATTTACATGAACTGGAAGTCAGACACAAAATAGAAACTGGTTATATTAGCTTTTTCAAAGGGCAAAGTTCCTGAGAAAATAGGTAGTGATACTAAAAAAACCTTTAGAACTACTTTTACATTATTGGAGTCCCACTATTATATTCCCTGCAAACACAGTGTGTACACTTGTGTAACAAACACTGCTCAGGAAGCCTCACAACCCAGTAAAAGCTCAGAGTTTGGTGAAAGGATCAGAGGCAGACTCCCAATATTTGACATCTCATAAGGTTACTCTTTGTTCACGCTTTTCAGTGAAGAAATCGGTGACCACTGAACCCGTCTTGTATACAGTAAGCAATAAGACACTTTGAAGTTGGAATTGCCGAGTCAACAGTCGGCTCTGGAGGGTTTACCAAGCACCTGTGTGCTTTAGACCAGCTTCTGGAGTAAGGAGAATAACCCTTGACTTTTTACCTTGGGAAATATTGTATTGCCCACCTATTATATTCTGAAAACATGTATTCTGAAAATTAATTGCCAGTTTTGCCAAGATTTACAATATTATGATACACGTATAACTGAAAATGTTTCTTTCTGATTAGAAAAACTATACCATTTGATTTTTTTCTCACCTTGCTTTTTCTAGTCGTTTCAATGTACACTAGCACCAGGTATTGAACCAAAACTGTATAACTTAACAGCTTTGCATGCAATGCAAATAAAATATTATCTAAAATATCTTTTATTATATGGGAAATACATTAAAAGAAGTCATAATGTTTGTAAAGTTGTATTCATTTCTTTACTAGGACAATAACAAAAATACAGATTAAAAATCATAAATATAACAGACAAGTCAGAGTTGGCTCCCCAACCAAACAAAAAGAGCTATAACCATATTTTCATATTACCAAATATGTCATCTGGCATAAATAAGCCAAAATGACAAATAGTTCTTTTCACAAATCTTTCTTTAAATGCAGCACAGTCGTGAGGTGCCCACAGGTAAACATACACCCGCCAGCTGTTCCCTTTTGTTCCAACAACTAATAACCAACCAGCAAGCTTAGGCATGGCTTTGTGCCTGCAATCTGGTACTTCATGGCCAACCAAGATATTTCTTTGAAAAAAAATATATTCAGCAATAACCAGCGATAACAATCAAACCTTAAATTGTATTTTCATTAAGATGACTGTAAAAAAAATGCATTCAAAGGTTTACATTTTTTTATCATCAAAATTATGATTCATCTCATTGGCTAAGTGCATTTATCTTGATATGAAGTTCAATTTTATGATACAATATTTGGCTTAACTTGAATGATGGCAAAAATGTCTTTGAAATAAACTAATTTGGTTACTTTGATTTAGGAAATTAGTACATTGGCTGAACCCTGAACACAAGTTTAATTTTACACTGCACTGTTATAAGAAATACATACTATGCCACTTTAAGCCTTCTTATTACTTTAAATGACATAGCTTCCCTTCAATTATTATTTTCATCATATTTTTCAACTCAAATCCTGTTTCTATTTTTAAAACTTATTCCTTTATAAATTAATACCCCCTGAAAATAAAGATTTGATTTTCCTCCCTACTTTGATACTCTATGCCAGCTTAAGATACAAAAACATGATAAGTTCCCTGAAATGTGCACCAACAACAGAACAACACCTAAATATTTTATCATTCTTTCTTCTCACCTTTCTGATTTGAGGTGAAGATTTCAAACTAATATAAATCTGCTCAAGTCACTGGAGAGCTCCAATGCCCTATATCTCCAATCTGGCTGGACAAAAGTTTAATTATCATTTCAGAAGTGCAGCAAGCCGCATGCCACCTGCTATCACTTTCTGGGCACTGTAATTATCTTGTAAGGCTCAGGGATAGAGCAAGATAACAGTATAATTACTTTGAAAAACTATCCGTATTCAGCGGGATTAATCCGAGGACAATATAGGACTAATACCACAGTTATGTTAGAACATTGGGTAATGCTGGAAAATGAGAACTAATGAGTGGACACAATACGTCCGATTTCCACAGCAATGCATTTCAGAGAATGCATTTTGAAATGTTTTAAAACATTTGATATGTCTGTTAAGTATTGATCTGAACAAGTAAGATAACATTTTTCACTTTTTTTGTCTAATTCTCATTTAACATCATCATCTTAAAGAGGTAAAATTAATTTTTGAAAAAAAAATGCATGTCAAACAGTCACTGTTTATCAACAAAAATGTATCCATAACTCATATTATGGGAGAGTTCAAAAAGATATAAAAAAAAACACTTAGGCTCTTTGAGTCCATTTCTTTAGAAGTCTGCCTTTCTATTAAGTGGCCACTTTACTCTGACTGTCACAAAGCTACATTAGATATAACAAATTAATCCCAGTTTGTGAGCAAACAGACAGTTTTTCTTCTGCTTTATGCATGGGAGTGTCGCAGGAAACTGAGAACTTTTCCTTTAAACAGATTATTCAGTTTTCACTTTACTACCTTTATTGACATGCATTGTGAGTCTTTGTTGTGTAAGCTAACTATGTTAGGACCCATGTAAGTGAAGCTTGTGTAAATAAAAATGATCACAATTTTCCATTTAGTAATCTCTTCACCAGATCTGCGATGTAGTGAGTAAAACAACCATTGTTCTCACAGCTGGATAAAAAGTGATCAAGGACCAAAATATTCATTGGATTATCTTGTCATCTGATGTCTCTTTGATCTTCTAATTATAGCCATCTTTATTTACTAAGTATTCCTTTTTTAATAGTACAATTATTTGTAGAAAAAAGGCAAGGCAATTTTTCCTAAATGACTTAATGGACTACAAAAAGGATCAATGATTCAAGATTTTGTAAAAAAAATCATCAATGCCCTGACAAAAAAAAAAAAATCAAACTGAAGTCACATTAGGTTTGGTTTTAACAAAAAAATAATAGCTGCTGGCTATAACAAATAGACACATGACGGCAACCCCCCTACTTCACCAACTTTTTATTCCCTAGTTCCCAATTTCAGCAGTCAAGACAATGAGTGGTGGGTGGCATCGCCCAGGAGGGGTTCCAATCAAGTCTCTGCTTATGGGGGTTCAGGCCTGGGAATTTTTTTTTCTATTTTGATTCATCTAAACAAATTTAGTGAACCCAGCTTTGTCAATCTCCCTTTTCTCCAACATAACAGATGCCCCGCCTCCCAACTAAGCTACATAAGGGTGCTTGTATGGCAAGGAATTGCAAGTCAAATTGAGAGTTTACAACAGTGTAAAAAATTACTCAAGGTAAATGGACACATTTCCTGTTGAGTAGTTTCTTATTGAAAATAGCCTGGCATATAAATAGACGGGACATTCACCAGGGGCCTCCACTGTAGTTTTCTGACCATCCCCCAAGGTGAACAACTTCACAAGCCACTGGTGACGGTAATCAAGACAGGCCATGCATGGGCAAGACAACTTGGGTTGATTTCCAGTTGTCATGGCAACACTTTACCCTATGGTGAAACTGCCTGCTCATTTCACATTTTACATCCACATGGCTGAGTGTGAATATAGGCAGAAAGGGAAGTCCATATCCCGGACTCCGTTTTTTCCAGCACTTTTTCTTTACTTCATTTACTCCATGTTTCAAGGAAAAAAGTGTAATGACTGATATCTAACTGTTATGGTTTTGATTAAAAAACTCCAACATCTTTATATTTCAGAACATCCTTTTTACTTCCAGCAATTAATACTAAGAAGAAAACATAAAGGAATGAAAAAAGAAATCTGGGAGAAAATTAGCAATATATATGATAATGAAATAATCTAGTTTGTAAAACATGGCATATTTTATTCACATGTTTGTCGCAGTTAGAAGTGTATATTAAATGGGCTGGTCTCTCAGGGGAGTGCGGTTCTATATTCAAACTGGATTATTAAGTTATCACTTTCTATTGATCATGTAAATACACAAGTTCGCTGGCTGTGATTTGAGTCTCATAACAAATCTTCCTGCACAATTCCCTGGGGGTTGCCTATTCTTTCTAGTAATAGCTAATGTATCTTGGGGCACTCAACTATGCAGTGTGCTCAGCATATGCCTTGTTGGAATTCATATTTATCGACAGTTTGTTTCAAGTAAGCTTAACATCAGATTATCTAGCAGTGCAGCAGCAGGGAGGGTAATTACATGGCTGACTCTCAAATACTCAATTTTATCATTAATTTGCTAACTAGCATTCTTATCCAATAGAAGGGAAGTAGTACGAAAGCCATTCTGAGGGAACATACAGTGCACCCGAGTTATCTGAGATGGAATAATCGTCCAATGAAATCAATACTAACTCTGCAGGTTTTCTCTGTGAGACGCATCCTTTGTGGTAATCCAATGAAAATCATCCTACTATTTGTGCAGGCCAACCCTTGGTGTCTTTACGCCTGATGAGCAATCAAAACACATCGTGGTTAAGAGCCAATGAAGCTTCCAAAACAGGTCCCCAAACCCCTTAGATCTCCATTCAAACAGAAGCAATATGATTTACAATAAAGCCTCTCAATGGAAAGTTTTTTTTCCACCATGTATTCTTTGGGCACAGGTATGGGAAGATAGCACGGCATCAAAGATATTATTTACAAGATACCAAATGGACTGCACTTAAAATCGGGGGTATTCACATGAGCATTGTGCGGCTGCCTCTTAACCAATCAGCGCTATCTCCCCATTGTCATGGCTTCCCTTTCACTGCATAGAAAATAAATGAGATTAGGGCCATCCCTTTGACGAAGGTCTAGTGAAGCGCACACCATCTATTCTCTGTAGATTTGCCCCTGCCTCTCTTGATATCACCTTCTATTCATTTCCAATTACCATGATCTTTAGGCGTTTGATTGCAACTGACACATGACGGCTACAAAGGCCGAGGAAATTAACTCACGTACTGTACACAAGCTTCAAGTCAACTTTTTTCCTGACGCAGAAACTTTGAATTATTTCTAAGATTTTGCCATGACTGATCACTGTGCCTGGAAAACATGTCAGCTCTGTGCTTGTTTGCATGAAAACCATTGAAGAGTTAATTACTCAAGAAATCCCTAATTTCCTCAATGAACAAAGTGTTGTAGTATGAGTGCAAGGTACACAGAGCTTGCTATTCCTTGGCAAACCAAGCAAACTGGAACTACTGCCTACCTGGAAGCTGCACACCTAGGTGACACAAGAATTAGGAAATTACTTCAATACAGCTTACGTTTATGTTAAATACAGTCCAAGGGAAATTATTTCACTGCACATTAAACACCGTGATCTAAGCTCCTTCAAATATCAAGTCATCAGATCAAGGCAGGCAATTCAGTCGAGTTTGTTTATCTAAGACGGGCAATACATAATAGCCATGTGAATCTGAAATATAATTTCTGTTTACTTTTTATTAAAAGTAATAACGCAGATGCCAATGGAAAAAAAGAAGAATTTTCAGCAGGAACCATAAAAAGCAATAAAACTGCGTCAATTCAGCATCATCATATCAGTTCAGTGCACCACATTATAGCCATATTCCATTGTTTCCTTGCTCTCAATAGGTGGAGAAATCAAACCAAATATCAAAGTTATGAAAACATCAGACTCTGAATAGAAAGCATGACAGTGGACATTTTGTGGGCCAAATCTGCGGCTTAGATCTCAGCCTCGGGTAAAATCCACACAGAGACAATGTCTTGGCACCACTCAGTTCACCACTGTTTTTCTGCTTTTCAAACTTATCAATTCTCCGTGCTCAAATTTTGTGAAGTTAGCAAAGCTGTAAATAAATCATAGGACACCCAACATTGTATGAAGGGGAGGCAAGAGTATTCTTGTGACACAATGGAAACTTTGTGTGTTTAGCTTGTCTGCGTTGTTTATAATAACATAACATGGCCTTTACACAACCCAGACCTGTCACTCTTTCAGACAAAAATTCTCTTTATTCAATCAAATGACATATAATTATACTATTTTAATTCACTCAAAATTACAGGCGCATTAGTCTGAAAAAAAAAAGGTCCAATTTTATAAAGCTATTCCACTATCACACCAACGATACAGTATTGTCCTATCCATACCAAGTTCAAAGGTTTCAATCAAATGAGCAAAAAAGGTGCACTACATTATCCTGGCTGTACACAGCAGTAAGCAGTGGCCAATAGGCTGGAATGGCCCACAAAGCTGTGGGCGGGGTAAATAACAACAAGAATGAGTTCAACATAAACTTTTTCATTCTCGCACGTTCATAAACACACAGTAATATGGTCAAGTTTCAACCCACAGAATCGTGTCACCTGTTATATTTACCAATAAACTGATACTTGAAAGGAAACAAAATTACAACTCTCCCAAAATCTCCTCCCCTCAGCTAAGAATCTCATTGATGTCTTAGAAGTAATAGATCTAACAAAAGTATGCCCAGGCTTTGTTGTGATTTTAAAAAATCCTAAAGGAGCCTTCTCTCTTAAATCGTTTGACCACCGGGGACCTTTTGATTGGCACAAAAAGAAAATAGCCCCCAGTCATATTTTTTGGTTGACTACAGATCACACTGTAAAATGTATCAAAATTATTCTTCTGCCATAAGGGGCACCGGGTTCAATGTTTGAGCCCTGGGAGGTTTATTGACCACATTTCCTTGACAGCAGTAAAAATCATCATTTCAAAAACAAGCATGCAGCAGCAACCTTTGTGACTCACACAAAGCCAACACTTGGAATTATAGACAAAATTCCCTAAACAGCTCACACAGTCTGAAGTAATTAAACTTACTAAGTACCCAATTCTCCTGACCAAAGGCAATAATAAGAATAACAATGGCAAAGAAAAAAAAACAACTAATGCATAATTTAAGAAATGGAGGAAAAATATGGATCCCCCCCCCCACACACACTCCCTGACTTTCATCCTGCCCATCTCAAGCAGTGGCTAACCGCCATGGGACCTGTGCTGCATGCTAAGACTACATCTCCCTCCCTGATGACAGGCTGAGGCTATGGGAAGGTGCAAGAATATTAACACAGCATACCTTCAATCACCTCCACCTGCCTGGAGGTCCTCCATCAAATCTGACTTCTTCTTCTTTTTCCTGGGAACATCTGAGAAATAATAAAATGAAACTGAATGAAAAAAAATTCATCCAAGTTCTTCATAGACTTGGTAATCTTTGTTGGAAATGAAAAATCTCGAATGGGCTTCATTTCGATTTGATTCCAAGATAATGCAACAATAGACATTTTAGAGATTTTATCAAGATTTAATTCCAGAGAAGTGATATCCGGTGTGCAGTTGTTATACAATCAATCAATAGATCAATCAACAGCCACACTAAATGCAGAATATAAGTATAGCATTTCATCTCAGCACTTCATCTGGTTCACATCCTATTTGAAAGTTGCAAATAATAGCCTAAGATAAATATAGATTTCTTATTTGAAGAACTCCTTGGCATTTTTTTCACAATGAAATAAAATGACGGAAAGGCATTTAGCCTTAGCTTTCATTGATAAACTAAAAATACATTAAAATACTTCACAAGTCTGGCTTAGTCCATGCAGACTTCACTTGAACAATCAGGAAGTTATTTGTGTCAAATAAATAACTGTACCACCTTTGTAGTCACGCGTGTAAGGCAAGCAAATTAATCACAACATAGCCTTGTAGAGGAAACATTTCTCTTTCTCTTATCAATCAGCATGTGAGATTTTAGTTTGTAAATGTATAACAGTAGTTTTCATAAAATCAACTGACACAGATATCAATCACCACAGCACATTGTGAATTAAATGATTAAGAAACACTGATTTACATGACACATATCTACCTCATTCATTGCTATTTTTTATTTTACTATAGAAAATACTTATCTCCTTTTATTTTGACTTTTTAATAAGACTGGAAATTTATTATTTTGACTGAAATATTTAACTATGATTGAAAATAATTTTTTATACAAATACTAATAATATTTTGAAATATTAAAAATTCTGACCTTCATGGAAATGTTCAGCAGTTTTCTTTCTCAGCTGCTCCACCGTTTCCTCAGTATCGGCCCATTCTAATACCAGACGTCTGCCAAATAAGTGAGTGCTGTGACACAGGGCATTGAAGGCTCTCTGAACAGAAATTATCATGTAGCTCAACTGGTTTTCTTCAGTACGAATATGTATATAAACAGGATTTTAAAGTGAGAAAACAAATTCAGGTAATTCAAAAATAATTAAATCTAAGAAGTAAGACAAGGAAAAAAATGTTTTTTATATGTCAAAGATTTTTTGGGCTTCAATCTATTTAATTTCTTTTTGTAAATCATAACAGAACTATAACATCATGAGTTGGTTTGCAATATTTCTACTTTAATAATTTTTCTTCACAAAAAATAATATTCCCTAAAACTAACCTATATTCACCTCAAAACATTTTGTGACTAATACTCTAGAGTATGAATTATCTGATAAACAATTCAAATTATTTTTATAGATTATTATCTGCTGCACTAATCTTAATATTTAAAAAACACTTAAAGTGGTGAGAATGAGGAAGTATTTCCTGTAACCTGGTTTTAATTTCTCATTTTCAAAAGAAATATGACATAAAAATGTGCTACAGCATACAACATTTTGAAAACCTCTACACTCCATAAAAAATACAGATGAAACAGCAGTAAAGAAGGAAAGAAAAAGGGGCTGCCACATTGAATTTCACTTTATAGAATAATGATAATGATTTAAACAGTAATCAACATAATTCATTCAGGTAAAATCCCAGTAGTTAAGATCTTATCTCCAAGGTGGTAAATGAAGCATTGGCATTATCTAAGCCTGGATCTAAATCTCAGGTGTGACTGGAGGCATAAATTGTCGGTGTTCACATTTGTGTTGAAAGCCAATTGCCTCCTGGAACAATGCCTGGGCGATGCAAAGGATGAGTCTTCACAAACCCGTCCCTTCTCACCTGGGCAATAGAGATATCCTGTGAATTGTCCCGCGCCACTCAGGCAGACGTAGGTAAACACTCACCAAATGATACATTGTGCAGGCTTACACCAGGGTTGATTGGTCCCGAATACTTAATAACCAGTTAAGATACAATAAAATATTGCAGTGGAGTATTAAGTGTGTTGTTTATTATCAGGCTGCACTGAGCTACCCTGTGGTGAACTCACTGTCTTAGTTTAGGATGGTGCGGACAATGGGATGGCACGGACACCCATTAAGAGTTCACGCAAAAGGTTAGCTGATCTAAAATGGAGGACAATAAATATAAAGAAAAGAAAAACTGTAAAAGCACCACAATTTAGTAGACATGAAAAATTTTACAACAGCTACATTAGGGCCATTTGCATGCACAACATGACACAAAGTGAGTCACACAGCGCTGCGCTATGGTGTGTGGACAAAGGAAGGACTTGTATACCGAGATGTTTCCTTCACAATGGAAAATACATTCCAAACTTTTATTTCCCCTTTTTATTAAGCAGAGGTGTAATTTGAAATCTTTTAATGTAAAAAAAAAAAAAAAAATGGAATGATTCAGAGATGCTCCATCATAATATAGTATTAAATCTTTGAACATGCAAGAGCAAAATGTTTTAAAGGCATAGGGGTAAATGTTTTGTATAACAAAAATTGAGTATTTTATAGATAACCACCAATATCTATTTTGCAGAGTATTTCACACACAGATAATTTGTCACCATATGCCTTTTTAGAGAATTATTATACTATTTTCTAATACTCTTTATTAATAACCTAGCAAAATTTCCCTCCCATTAAAAAAAGTTTCACAAATAAAATTCTCAGACTCTCAAGATAAAAAAGCCAAGCAATATTCTATTTTTGGCCCACGGGGTGATGTGAAGTGATATAGGTGTTTGAAATAGATTAAATTTCCAAGCCACAGTTTTTGTTTCATCTGCATTGTCTCGTCTTCCACCTCAGCCTACATACATTCTTTCCACATGAAATAGGCATTCTATAAAAGAAATCATTTGATGAATGTTTCCATTCAGAAAAAGAAGTTGGGCTGCTTTGAATAGTGACATGCAGCAATGAATCAAAAAGCCTTTCTTTTTTATTTCACACATTGTATTGATTTGTATTGCAGTTTTCATTCTTTTCCTCACTGAATCAACATGCTCCCGTTACAGGTCTGTGTCAATCTAAGATGCTAAATCATTCTTCACAAACTACATTTCATTTTACCTCCTCAGTGACACTGATAGATCTTGTAATGAATGAATGGAATAGTCAAGGCGTGATAACTCTCGCATGGACAGAACTTGAGTAAATACAAGGAACAATAGAATACCAGCACCATAATTCTTCCCTGATATTAAATATAAGAAATAAGAAAGTGAAAAAAATCTGTTATTTTTAGAATAACATTTGGCAGGTAATGAAAAAAATAGTGTATATACCTTTGCATCCTGTTTTGACAAGAAGTCAACAAAGCCAAATCCACGATGACTACCGGTCCCACTGAGTTTTTTAGGCAGACGAACTGATTTAATCTCGCCAAAAGTACTGCAAGAAAATGAAAGAAAATAAAATCTGACTTCTTTAAATTAGGTTCCCATCTAGCTTCATGTCAGCCAAAATATCAATTCCAGCGTCCTCATTTTACATAATGGACCTGCCACAACTGATTTGGCGATCTCTAATTGAATGGTAATGAGAAGTTTAATGTGCTTGCACTGTGTGCTACTGGGGAGCTGAGTGTGGTAGAGAAGACAGCTGAACTTCACAGGGGTCCTAAGCAATGGTCACTCTAATACGCTGGTTATTTATCAGTTTATCTCTCTTCTACACTCTACTATACTACTTCTCTCTCTACTTTAAATACAATTTTACATTAGAATGTTATATCTTACATTTCTTTACATGCAACTTTTTAGAACCACTGCTACATCTCCTTGTACTAAACATATGAAACCATTATCACTGCATCTTTTTCCATACTGATGGCAGTAATTCTAATGGTTCTGAATGTTACCTGAAAAGTTCTCTGATTTCCTTGAGGGATGCTTCAAATGGAATATTCCTGATTAGCACCTTCGTTGATGTTTGTTTTTTTGACGCGGACTTTTTGCTACTTGTTGGTTGCTTTTGTCTGAAATAACAGGAACAGTTACAAATTTCATCAACATTTCCAATGAAGTGATATTTGTGAAACAGAATGTTGGGCAGAGTTTAAGAGGTTGCAGGCAGTGTTTTAGATATGGAAGGCACGTTAGATGTGACAGTCTGTTTAACACATCCTCTGTATGCAGAATAGCATCATTTACATCATTTCCTCATCATGTTATTGAGCCCGTAAAGTTTTTCAATTTTGATGTTTTATGCGCTGTAATTGTTATGTTATACATCCAAGATCACAATCAGTCTGCATTACACTTTCAAGTCTCCATATTTCTTAGCTGCTTTATGAAAGGAGAAATCTAATTCGCTGTTCCTAATCAAGGTTAATTTTGGGTCACTTGGGCACCATTCTGTTTAAATGTGTTCTGGATAGGGAGAGGAAGTTGCTATATACCCTTGGCTACTGAAGATTGGACAGACAGCACAGGTGATGTTGGTTAAATATGACTGACAGTTTGTTAGATGCTACTCAGTGTATACAAAATGTTAAACATAGAATTTGGTGAAACATATATCACTTACAATGTTGTTCTTTCTGATATTTTTAGTTCCACACTATGTCCATCTAGTTTGTTATGCTGCAACTGCTTCAAAGCCTTCATGGCATCTGGTTTACCTCTGAACTCAACAAAACCATAGCCCATAGAGAGAAAATTCCCTGGTTTTTTCATGTCTTTCTTTTTAGCAACTGTTGCAACTTTAACTTTACCAACACTACTGAAAAACTGAAATAAAGAAAACAAATGGAAAGCTTGTTCTGTTTGATATGCAACTATTGTTATTAAAAATCAAACTCTCTGTAAAAAGCATGAGTATATTATAAAATCCAAATTGTGATCTAATTTTTGGCACTTAAGAACCACATTTAGATAAAATAATAATTATTACCAACTGTATTCATACAAAAATAAGCGCACATGAAACAATAACAGAGGTTGTCAATTCTTTCTCCCCCACCACCTACACCAATATACCTGTTTCAGTCCCTCATCAGTGGTATCAAAATTCAAGTTCTTAACAAACAAAGTGCTTCCTGGTTCATTAACAGCCTCTTCATCTTCTTCCTCTTCTTTATCAGCTAACCTTGGGTTCTCTTCTCCTGTCATCTTTATTGAAAATAAAGAAAATAAAAAACTTACCAACAGGAAATCAATTTTAGAGAGTCTACAAAAGACTTTGCTGAAACTGCCAACATACAGGACCATTCTTGTGTATGCCAGACAAAATTGCTTAGGTGGTGAATGAGCCCGACCCACTTAAATTTAAAGGAAATGAAGTTTTTTACACCAATTTTTTTTTATATGGAAAGAAATGCATTGGACATTAGTTTGGTAAGTGGCAATTTTTTTTTACAAATGATCATGTTGTGAGAGATTTAAGTTTTCATTTAAGATGGATCACTTTACTCATTTTGTAATCTATTATTATATTTTTCTGAATGAGACAACATTACTATAACTACCTCGCTGCTTTCCACACTTTCCTTCCCTTCCCCTGTTGCCTGGTTCTGTTCCTGAGCTGGTGCAGTGAAGACTCCCACTGGAGCCCACTCCAGATACAGTGGAACATGCTGAAACTGAGAACACCATGACATATATATATTTAACGCCAGGATAATGTGCTTCATGTCTGAAAGGAAAATTACTAATATATAATAAAATAAGTACCATAAAAAATGACTGAAAATCTGATATTGGAAAAAAACTCTATGTATACACAGAACTGAAATTTAAACAAAATCAACCTGTTGATATGATAACACTTTGGGGTGCCATTTCTTTACATTCAAATCAATATCAGTAAATGCATTACTTTGGTATATGCCAGATTCCTAAAAGCTCTTCTGGCCTCTGAAGGTTCCAGGAACTCCACTATGGCTGTCACTCCTGAAGGAGGGAGAATTACTCTGGAAACAGTGCCATGTTTGGAAAATATAGTTCTGATTTCCTCGGCTGGCGTGCCTGAAGGGAGATTTTTCACCAACATTACAGTTTTACTTCTTTCCATCTTTCCTTGACTGAATGCTTCTAAGGAGACTCCATTTTCTGTGAGGAAATCTCTGGTCTCTGACACAACATGTGTTTCTCCCAGAGCCATCCTGACACCAACACTTTGCCTAGACTCCTGGAACATAAACAGCAACAGAATTAGCTCATGTATGCAGATAATCTGTAGACAATCATACCAATGTATATCAATATTTATACAGTATATGTGTATAACTATAACGGATATAATAATATATCAGGTGGACGAATAGAAGGATGGATGGAAAAATGACAGATGAATTGAAGGATAAACAGGCAGATGAAGAGCCAGACAAACTATAGAAGATCAAATTATTATAATGACAGATGTTAGTTACAATAAAATTATTTCAAATCAAATTTATGTAGTGTGAGTTTTTTTTAATCATGCTACATTTTAACTAATTCAATTAGAATATTAAACTGAAATATAGGTGAAGTGGGTTGACTTACAGGATCTAACAACTGACTTTTTGAGGTGCCATACTTCTCTGCTATCACATCAGCCACAGCATTAGCACCAAGGAACAGAGAGTTCCAGTTATGTGAGCTAAACCAATTAAAATATCACATAAAACTTAACTGGTCCATCAAAAGGTAAAAACAAAAATACATTTGTCAAATAGTAACAAGCGGAAACATTGCTTAAACATATCTATTTCAAATCACTAAATATACGTATGTCAATTTTATTTATTTGCCTAAATTTTTTTTTTATTTGTGATCTCTTTCACATTTACAAACATACACATAAATTTCTATTTACCTTCCAGCATGAGCTTTCTGCTGTGCTTGTCTTTTCTTCTTGAAGGAAGACTCATCTACAGTAAAACAACAGCAGGACATGAACAGTGAAGGTTTAAATGTTTCTCAATATAAAATTTAATAAAACTTCATTTATACAACATGTAACAAAAGAGAAAAATGACCGATTTTAATACACTTTGATTCATATTCATCACCTCTAAAGCTATCATTTTCAACTTATATTATCATGTTATAGTGACAATATCAGCATGATCTCAGGTTTTACCTGAAGCATCTTCACTTGGGTCTTTCTTGGTCTTAGCAGGGAGGATGTGCAACATGCGCCCCTAGAAGTGCAGAAAAAATGTCTCCATTGATAGCCAAAGAAAACCACATGCAACAATGATAAAGCACAAGTAAAAAACAAAAATGTAAATGAACTGAAATACTATGTACCAAGGTGTAACTCACAGTTGGTAGACATGATACTGTTCACATTAAAGATATTGTTTACCTGGAAAACTGTTCCATCACATTCTGTGTAAGCCTTCACACCATGTTCTGGAATTACATATGTTATGAAAGCAAACCCCTTCACTTTCTTGGTAAAGGTATCTATTGGAAGATGAACCTCTGCCAGTGGTCCTGAAATAAAGAAGAGTGAAACCAGGTTAAATGTGTTACCTGTAATCATATGTCATGCAACCTGATTCTAGGACAATTCCCCCCCGGACAATTCCCCCCGGACAATTCCCCCCCAGGACAATTCCCCCCCTGGACGATTCCCCCCCGAAGAATACATATATACAAATATAAAGAAAAGAGTACAAAGTTCAAATCTTTCATCCATTTTCTGAATATTTTTAGTGTGTTAATACAACTTCATCATGAAACAAATGATTATATAACAAATTCCTTTTTTATTGAGTACAAGTACAGGAAGATTTATTAAATATCTAATCAAAGTATAACCACCTATCCTTCAGGTAAAGGTGGGGTAAACAGATGAACAGGTAAACAGATATTTTATGAATATTTTTAGTGTGGATGGTGGTGGGTTGTGGTCAAGCAATTAAAAGTGACAAACAGTCAAAGGGATACCTGGATAAGCGAGAAAATCTGTTAACCCCACCTCTCCCTAGAGATGCACCTTGATTCAAGAATT